TGTTTTTGAATCATCGCTCCGGCCTGACAGGGCATCATCACAATATGGTAAGGGGCGTATAATTTACATCACGCGCTTGAGGTATTCGGCCAATCACAACGCACTGGATAGCTGGCCAATCACAGCACACCTCGCTTTTTTAGAACGATGAGCTTTGTAAAAATCGACGCGTTTCCGAAAGGCGGGGGATAGAGGAGAAACAATAATGTACAGTATGTGTAAAATAATGTTTTTTTTTAACATTAAACCGCATAAACACATTTCATGACACCAAATACACAAAATAATGTTCTTTTTAGCAGCATCATATGACCCCTTTAATGGAACACTGTAGTGTTTATTATAAACAATTTATCCGTGCACTTCATAATTTTTTTTTTTTAATTCATGTGCCCTCGTAATCTTTAATTAAAAACATTAACCTCCCCTCCCCTCAAAACAATTCAAACTTCACACAGCACTCGACTGTTCCGCAAACAATCCCAAGCGTCTTTTATGCTCACCTTATGCCTTCGGGCAGTTCTTATATTGAGTCCTGATACGCGAGTTTGAACGAGAATGCACACGTTGGCGGTAATGCATAGACGAACATTATGTGAAAATGTGGACAGTGCCAAAGTAAAGGTGCCTATTTATACAGATATCGATATTTTACGTGTGGCATCGATGTATCGTATCGTTTTTGAATCATCGCTCCGGCCTGACAGGGCATCATCACAACATGGTAAGGGGCGTATAATTTACATCACATGCTTGAGGTATTCGGCCAATCACAACGCACTTGATAGCTGGCCAATCACAGCACACCTCGCTTTTTTAGAACGATGAGCTTTGTAAAAAATCAACGCGTTTCAGAAAGGCGGGGCATAGATGAGAAACAATAATGTACAGTATGTGGAAAATAATGTGTTTTTTAACCTTAAACCGCATAAACACATTTCATGACACCAAATACACAAAATAATGTTATTTTTAGCGGCATCATATGACCCCTTTAATGGAATACTGTAGTGTTTATTAGAAACAATTTATCCGTGCACTTCATAATTTTTTTTAATTCATGTGCCCTCGTAATCTTTAAGTAAAAACGTTAACCTCCCCTCCCCCTCAAAACAACTCATCTTCTCTTCCGGTCACGAGATATGGCGCAAGGGCGGAGCTAGTGACATGAGGGGTAAACGCTGGGATAAACGACAGGGAAAAGCTGAAGCTTCACTTTATAGCACTGATACTAGGCATGAGGGAGTACGTTACCCCTAAACATTGAAAAGATATTAGGATATTACGACAACATTACTCTTAGGACATCACAAACTAAATTTTTTCATGAATATAACTTAACCTGTTGGAGGACGCACTCAGTCATTCAGGCAGTCTCTCTTGCACGCTGTTTAGGCATGTTTTGTGCTATTGATCGTCATTGTCATCCTTAATAAATAAAACATTTATTCATGCTTGGGTGTCCCTCCATAACTAACTGCAAACTGGCATTCAGATCTGCCTCCATTTTGTTAGCAACGCCCCAACTTCCAACGATCCAATCAATTCCCGAAGGATGAAATCAAGTCCCGCCCTCTCATTTCAGATGCCATTTCACTCGGATATACGTCACAGTAGAGAAGAAAAGACAATCGCCGACTGAATCTTCCGTTTCATGCCGAATTTAAGACCTATTTAATCTGCATATAAAACAGTAGAAATTAGATGCATTTAATTTTTATTGTGTGTTTGACTGTTAAAAAAAAAAAAAAATTGTTGTCTCAATAAATTGGGTTAATTAAAAAAATACAGTGGTTAAATTAAAAAAAAAAATTCTATTGCGCTTTGTTTTAAAAAAGGTTATAAAAAAATTTAAATAGTTATCGATACGAAACATTATATCGTTTATAAATTTTTTAGCTATATCACCCAGCCCTAATTCAATGTGACTAATAAACACACGACTATGACGATATATGGTTTATTTGAGTTAGTCTTATTATAATTTTTACTATAATAAAGTATATAATAATGCAATATTAATCTACATAGCCTTTATCACTGCTTAGAATACTATGAAATATGTTGCGTGCCTTATTCTTTGTAAGAAACCACATAATCTCACAGAAGGATTTATTTCAAACACTCGACTGACGTTATGAAGTGAGTTTGGAGTAAAAACACTATTAAATGTGGTATTTTCACGTGCTTTCAGAGGGAGCAGCATTTACTAGAGTCATAGTTCACTGACAAGCTACGCAAAATCGCATTCATAATCGCAGACGATTTAATCGCATGATTATGAAATCGAAAAAAATCATTCTGCGATTTATAAAAGCTGTTTGCGTAGCTTGTCAGTGAACTACGGCTCTGTAGTAAATGCTGCTCCATCTGAAAGCATGTGCTGGAGATTTACTACTAATCACAGAACCGGCTTTACTGACGAGATGCGCATGACAATCGCATTCAATTAATCGTGCAGCCCTAATCTTAACCCACATCATAATCACCATATTTTATCCCTGCTTGGATATCCATCCCTTTTTAACTTCATTAGTAATGTTTTCATTCAATCCCTGATTTCTGGTGTACAAATATAATCAAAGTAGAACATAGACAGACCTGGTAGTGTCTTTGTTAGTGTCATCCTCTTCAATATCGTCCTTTCTTCCCCTTGTTACTTTCTCATCTTGTAGTTCAAGGCAGTGTTTCTAAAATGTATAATAAAAAGTAGAGTATATAAAAATGTTTGTTTACTTTCTTGCACAGACTAAGCCAATTAAATTAGCATAAGGGTAATAAACACTGTGACTAGTCAGAGTGTTAGAACCAAATTCACTTTTTATAAAAAAAAAAATTTAATGCATGTTTTTGGCTGCTTGCTAACCTTGGTTTGGATGACATCCTCATTGCCCGTGTGTTTTTCCTCCTGCTCTGTGAAGACTCGTTTTTTGCGTTGGGCTGTAGGAGGCTTTACAGCCGCAACTTTTTCTGTGGCCTGAGATGAAGACTCTTTCTGGACCTCTTTAGACTGAGGAAGATAGAAGTTAGTTATGCATAAAAATGTGGCCATGTAAAAGACAGATGCATTTTGCATGTATAACAGTATGCTATTCAATAAAAAAAATAAGTGAATTATAAACAACTAGTGAAATTGTATCAACACATAAGCCTATTTCAACTCGTTACCTAATTAGCATAAAATAGACCTGCTTATTACGTAGGGGTGTAAATCGGATGGTTCATCACGATACGATATCGATTCTCATACTCAGCAACACGATATTTGCCGATACCTCAAATTCTACGATACGATTAGATACAGGAGTATATCGATCGATATATCGACATTATGATATTATATATCCATTTTAAACAACCATCTACATTTTTATTAACTCACAAATGCAGCCAATACATAATATGAACATTTATCTGAAATGTTCACATCCTGTACCTCAATTGGGACATTCACAAAAAAAAATAGGCCTACACATTTATATATTTTTTTTCCCAAATAATAAAGAAAATAAACAATTGGAAAAACAATTCTGGCTGCTACTATGGGTTCAGTGCTAAAAGTCTTTTCTACAGATAACCAAATTACAAGCAATAGCAGAAAATAAATACAATACAACAAAGACACAAGTTCAATAAACAGTGCTTTTCAGGTTTTTCAGCTCAGTCTAAAATAAATTTTCAGGTACGCTACAGAAATGTAATAATCAAATGTAAAATAACTGCATACTCTTCACTGTATAAATTAAATATTGATTAATAATTTTTTGATGTCACAAAGGTTATTTAGTCAGGAGCAGTGAGCACTTGTATTTTTCTTTGACAGCATTAGATTTATTATTAGTTTGCTTTCACTTTAAGAACGGAGCACAGATTTAATATAGGCCTACTGATACACATGCCTTTTCTTTCTTAACTGTTTACGTTAAGACATATGCCTAACCGACTGTGTTTACTAGGATTTTCGCCAAAACGCGCATTATGTAATTTTGTCTATTTATTCATCCATGCACAAAAAAGCGGAAGAGAGCTCAATTTAGTATTCGCACGGTGTAGACACGGCTGTCTGTGTGCGTGCGAGCACTTCAGATGTGTGCGCAGAAAACTTCACACAGCACTCGACTGTTCCGCAAACAATCCCAAGCGTCTTTTATGCTCATCTTGTGCCTTCGGGCAGTCCTTATATTGAGTCCTGATACGCGAGTTTGAATGAGAATGCACGCTTTGGGCGGTAATGCATAGACGGGCATTATGTGAAAATGTGGACAGTGGCAAAATAAAGGTACCGATTTATACAGATATCGATATTTTACGTGTGGCATCGATGTATCGTATTGTCAGACATCGTATCGATGTATCGATCCATATCGATGAATCGTTAGACACCCCTATTATTACGCAAGTCTATGGAGCAACATGCCCCAAATTGGCCCCATAGACTGCCATTAGGGCCTTTCGCACTGCAGGAACCTTTTCATAGTACCAGAACTAATTGTGGAACTACCCACTTTTCGGCATGTTCGCACCGCCTGGGAGCGATTTTAGTATCAGACTGCCTTTTTCGAGAACCAAATTAGCTCCTACTCCAGAGCAGGGTCTAACCAGCACAACTGGTACTAATCGTGACGTAAGTAGACATTGATTGGCCAAACGCGTATGAAAACGCCCTCACCCACCATGATTTAAAACGCCGTGTAAACATACTGTAAGCAGGTCAACTTATTTCGCAAGTATGGAGAACAGCGATAGATGGACGGACGCTGAAGTGCAGGCACTTGTAGCAAATGTAGCACTGCCAGTTGTCGTTGGAGATTCTTAGTCCTCCTTTCCTTTCTTTCAATCGCTTTACGTATACGTCGACTTTCCATGTACACTGTGAAACCCGCGAGACACAACAAAACACAGCTCCGATCATAGCGTCCTCCATCCTCCTGTTGTTAATGTTGTTTTTCTTTGTTTCTGTTGTTGAACGCCGTGCACTAATGACGACGCTGTCGACCGGCTAACGTCACTTCTTAGTACATACTCTCGGTGCGAATGCAACCCTTTAAATGGTACTGGGAAATAGTTCGCGCAAAATCGTCCCAGTACTTTAGTACCGTACGTTTAGTTCTGGAACTAAAGCGGTGCGAAAGGGCCTATTGTAAGTGGATATTTGTTTGTACTCTTTGTGATAATAGAACCTGGAACATTTCTTTTAATGGTTCACCCACCATTGTAGTACTTTAGTATAGAATTCACTCAGTTGTATGAAGTTTATCTTCTTGCAAAATGAATAAAAAGTTGAACGTTTGATGTAATTTACACATGCAGTGGAGAGAGAGAGACAAAAAAAGAACTGGCAAGGTAGAGTCATGAAACCTGAAAAATAAAACTTAATAGCTCAGGCAATCCATATACATTAGTTCAGTAGTCTCCAAACTCGGTCCTGGAGGGCCGGTGTCCTGCAGAGTTTAGCTCCAACTTGCCTCAACCTGTCTGGAGTTTTCTAGCATGCCTATTAAGACATTGATTAGCTGGTTCAAGTGTGTTTAATTAGGGTTGGAGCTAAACTCTGCAGGATAGCGGCCCTCGAGGACCGAGTTTGGAGACCTCTGCCTTAGGGTACATCCACACAAAGCCAGAGCTTTCCCTATCCGATCTTTTATTCCCCTCGTCTCAAGAAATATCTGCGTACACACGAAACCATGAAACCGACACAAAACGATGTAGTATACATGCCAGACCAGTATGTGGCACTGTAATTCTGCCACAGAGATACACTAAAAATGGAGAAGACTTGGACTATGGAACTATACATTTATTAATCTGTGTTAATGTTAGATAATAAAAAGACAATCGTTCAGCGTTTGTTCATGTTGTTGCCGTTACGTGACGTAGAAGTGTCTGACTAGGGGCGAGACGTGGGATGATGACATCATTGTTTCACAAAATATACGGATTGGCTGTACACACGAAAACGCAAGGGTGTCGTTTTCAGATTTATCCACTATGGGACCCGGTTTCAAAAAATATTGGTTTCACTCTCCCAAAATGCCGGATCCATCTGGACGAAACGCCAATCCGATACAAAATTTTTGCGCATACAGTTAAGCGCATCTACGTGTGGACGGGGCCTTAGTTTATGTCCTGTATGCCAGCTCTCTAATGCTCTTATGTTCTTCTGCCACTTATTTTACCACTGAAGCTATTTTTGAGGAGCATGTAATTATAGATGAATTCTGACACTTGATTACAATGACCATGAGCAATGTCTCTAATGTGTTTAAAGAGAGCAAGAGTGAGTTAGCCTGACAAAAAGATAATAAACTTTTGAACTACTCACCTTCCTACCACCTGAAGTGGAATGACTTTTCTCCTCTGATGATGATGATGAACTGGAGGAGCGTGAGGAGGATGAAGACCCAGAATCCGAGTTGGATGAGGAGTCGTCGCTGGAGGATGATGATTTTCTTTCTTTCTTCTCCACCTGCTTCTTTTCTCTTTCTCTTCCTCTTTTCTTCTCCTCTGAAAGAGGTTTCTCCTCATCCTCCACTCTTCTGAGTGTCTTATGTTTAATATCTTTGCTTGCCTCACTATCCTCTGACGTCTTCATCTTCTCTTCCTCTTGTGGTGCATGTTGTTTGGCAGGCACCTCGGGGGTCTTGCTCTCAAGCTCATTGGAGGCTGAAGCAATGACTGATGTTTGATGAGCCTGAGAGGCATCTTTTTCCTCAGGCTTAGATGCTAATGGAATTGAGGGGGCTTGTGGCATGGGGCTGTCTGAGAAAGTACGAGGTCTCTTCAGCACAGAAGTCGGAGAGGAAGGGAGAGGAGTTGTCACAGGAGCATCTCTGAGGAAGCGGGACTTCTTTGAAGAAGATTGAGCGGATAGTGGTGTTGCAAATGTGGGTGACTGTTGTGGGACAGGCTCTGTAGATTGAGCATCTTTGCCACTGCTCTGAGGTTCACCAGTCTCGCTCTCATCTGGCTTCTCCGTTGGACTCTCCAGAGAAGCAGGATGGGCCGCTGGATAGGAGAGACCACCGATATCACGACCACGCTTCCACGGAGGAAGACGGCTTTCTCTTTTTTTCTCATGTTCCTCCTCTTTTTCAAGCTTCAAAGCCTTTTCTTTTTCCTCCTGCACTCTTTTTTGCTCCAAAAGTATTTCCCTTTCCTCCAAGGCTCTCTGCTGCTCTTCTTTTAAAGCCCTCTCCTGCTCCTCTTTCTCTTTTTCCAAAGTTCGCTCTCGTTCCTCCTCTGCTTTCCTCTGTGCTTCTCTCTCACGCTCAAGAGCTTGTTCTTTCTGCAATCGTTCCTCTTCCAAAGCTTTCTCTTTCTCATGCCTTTCTCGCTCTTGCCTCTTGCATTCCAGAGTGGCTTCTCTTTCATGTCTTTCTTTTTCAGCCCTCTCTTTCTCCAGCCTTTGCTGTTCTTTGGCCCTTTCAATTTCTTGTCTCTCTTTCTCCAATGCAGCTTCTCTTTCCAGTCTCTCTCTCTCCAAAGCTTGCTCTCTTTCTAGCCTTTCTTTCTCCTGCCTCTCCCTCTCTAGAGCATGTTCTTTTTCTTGCTTCTCTCGTTCCTGCTTTTCCTTCTCAAGCCGCTCTTTTTCCAATCGCTCCCTCTCTAAAGCTTGTTCTTGTCTTTCTTTCTCAAGCCTCTCTCTCTCCAGCCTTTCCCTCTCAAGAGCTTGTTCTCGTTCTAGTCTTTCTTTCTCAAACCTCTCTCTCTCCAACCTTTCCCTCTCAAGAGCTTGTTCTCGTTCTAGTCTTTCATTCTCAAGCCTCTCTCTCTCCAACCTTTCCCTCTCTAGAGTTAGTTCTCGTTCTATTCTTTCTTTCTCAAGCCGCTCTCTCTCCAACCTTTCCCTCTCTAGAGCTTGTTCTCGTTCTTGTCTTTCCTTCTCGAGCCGCTCTCTCTCCAATCTCTTCCTTTCTAGAGCGTGTTCTCTTTCTAGTCTTTCCTTTTCAAGCCTCTCTCGCTCTAATCTCTCCCTCTCTAGAGCTAGTTCTAGTTTTTCTTTCTTGAGTCTTTCCCTCTCCAAGGCTTTTTCTCTTTCTTGTCTTTCTTTCTCAAGCCTCTCTCTCTCCAATCTCTCCCGCTCTAAAGCTTCCTGTCTCTCTCTTTCCAGTCTCTCCTTTTCTTGCTTCTCTCGTTCCAGAGCTTGTTCTCTCTCGAGTCGTTCTCTTTCCAAAGCTTGTTCTCTTTCAAGCTTCTCCCTCTCTTCCCTCTCCCACTGTAAGGCCTTTTCTTTCTCTTCCCTTTCTCGCTGTAAAGCTCTCTCCCTCTCCCGTTTCAGAGCTTCTTCTCGTTCCTGTCTTTCCCATTCCAAAACTCGTGCTCGCTCTTCTTCCAATGCCTTCTTTTCCTCTCTCTCCTTTTCTAGGGCTTTCAGCCTTTCTTGTTCTCGTTGCCTTTCCCTCTTTTTGTTTTCTTGCTCCCATAAAAGATGGCTACCCTCATCCTGCTTCATACCATCACTCTCTTCCACCACCGCTGTTCTAACGACACTAACACTTTGGTTGGAGATCACTAAACTAGGGTATGACAAAACTGACGCTGCATTAGCTGTGTGAGTAATTGCAGACACAACTCCCTCATGGTGGCTTCTCGGTCCATCCATTCCCTCCTTATCACGCTTTCCTGCACCAGAGAAAGCTCCCTCAGACGCCATCTTGCGCGCCAGTAAGGTCAGTGGGCCTGGTCTGCGTTCTGTGGAGTCGCCTGCTGGTTCAGGGCTACTGCTACAACTGTCACTACTGGAACTCCCAGAGCTCGAAGAGCTAGATATACGCTGCCTAGATGGGGGCTCTCCGGGACTAGGGGGGCTCTGTTTAGGGGTGTCTGGGAGTGGAAAAGAGAGTTCAGGAGGAGGGGATGGGGGAGGAGTGGGCTGTCTGAGCTGCTGTGATAGTAAAGGTATGTGTTGGGGGGGCGGCTGCTGCTGTTGCTGCGAGCCACCAGATCTTTCCCTCACCGGCTGGCTTTTTGGAGGCTGTGCTCTACGACTCCGTTTAGCACTGGGGTTCCACTCCTCCTCCTCATCATCATTGTCATCCCCGCCTTCACTGTCATCATCACTGTCAGCCGGTACATGGCTTGATGTTGGTCCTCTTTCACCAACAACCCGCACCGACAAAGAGGCTATTGCGCTAGGCTGGGCAGGTGCAGAGGGGGACGGCTGCCCAGGCATTTCTTTTTCTCTGAGCTCATCACTCTCACTCGCAGTTACCCCAAATCCCCCAGCCACTGCTGTACCTCCTTTGTGTTGGTCAACTAAGGAGGGAGCAACATCCTGGTGGAAATATACGTGTTGGACACAGAAGGTTACGTTCAGGCCCCAAAAGTTTATTTTTTATTTTTTATCCAAAGTAAAGACAATCAGGAAAATGCATAAAATATCTAAATAAATAACATTTAGCCTTACCTTGCATTACTAAAAATAAAATACAAATTTTGTGGTCCAGCCCAGAACAAACACTGTAGAAGCAGAGGATTGATATGATTTCTAACCTGGTTAGGGGCAGCACAAATAGTGTCATTGGCCTCTGTGTGGTCTTCATGGTCGGTTCCTTAAAAATAAATAAATCAAATATATAAACCATGACAACAATGTGTATATATATGTGTGTGTGTGTGTGTGATATATATATATATATATATATATAAATAAATAAATATATCAGGGCTCGACAATACTGACTGCCCGATGGACGAGGCCAGCGTGAAAGACGCTCAGGACAGTTGACAGATTTGGGCCACTGCCGCGTCATTAAACAAAGTTTATCATTTGTATCTGTTTTTAAGCCTTGCTAATTAAAAAATTCAAGCAACTTAAAAGCATTCCAGCAAGGCACGAAAGACAACGCCATTCAGTACTCACAAGCTGTTCTGTTTGTACAGCGCGCGCACAGACAGCTGTGTCTCTGACACCCAAGCCCCGAGTTTCTTTCCACATCTTTCTTGCGTTTGAACGGACAAATACATACAAAAGTATGTCAAAATACCCGTCTTGGTGAGTAACTTTGTAGCTTTAACAATGATTAATCTATATTTAACTTATACAGTGGAGAAGAGATCCACCGAATTTTTCAGACTATCTCCGTTCTGTGCTTGCACACAAACTGCAACGCAATATTTTTTTTCAAAATGTAACTTGTGTGGAAATATTACGTTAATATTATATTTAGTCTGTAAACGGCCATTAACAGGCCTGCGACGCTGAAGATGAATGCAAAGAGGAGAATATACTGTAGCAGGCAGAGCAAGATCACTGCGAAATATAGGGGAAAAATATTGAATTTTATATGGATGTGTTTCTGAGGGGAATTGACTGTTTTCAGAAAAGTTTACATGGTGTTTTTTTTTTCATCTTGGCTCGGTATAATGCATTTAAATTAGTGCTAATACGCACAGCACTGCTTTGTTTACAACTAGGGATGCTCCGCTCCGCCTTTTTCACCTCCGATACCAATTCCGATACCTAGGGTTTGGTATTGGCCGATACAGATACCGATCCGATACCAGTGAAGTTTTTTTCGAAAATTTTTCGTAGATTAAACGTAGAATTTATATATCTCTGTGTGTGGAACTGATAATCATTTTCACAATCTACTAGATACAGACTACTTCATTATAAAGAAAAATAAAATTAACAAATATGAAAAAATATAGGCCTATGTATATTTATAATCTATGACAAAAAATTATCATAAACTAGGTTAGTGGATAATTCGGCAGCAAAAGTTATTCTAGAAAAATCAGTGCACATTAATTTTAGAAATCCAAACATTTAGTGAAAAAACTATTTTGTGGGGAACAAATAAAAGTGTTGCACTAAATATGGTAAAATGTTACACATTGCTATTTGTATTATTATAAAATCCATTTATTAAAAACATTCATGAATGTATTTATATTTAAGTATATACTATAAAATTTAAATACATTTCTTTTAAATGTATAGCATATTTTTTAATGAGGCAACAACATATGATACGATAGGACAAAACAAATACAGTGCAGCACAAACTGTTTTTATACCGTCAACCCTCTATGGACACCTTGGCAATTGAATCGCCATTGGCTAGTATATTTTTCTGTTTACTCGCCAGACTGAAATACTATACTATCTATCTATCTCTCTCTTTATATATATATATAGAATGAATCTGCGTGTCATTCAGCCCCTCTGCTGTTTCTGTTTCATGCAGGTGTTTTATGTAGCATAGTTTCACAAAGCTAAATTCAAACCATTCTGTTTTTGCTTCACATTTTTAAATTATACAGTCTAATTTCAATCAAACATTGCACATGCTACACGTGTGTATAATCTTTTTTTTTTGATCGATTCATGATTAAAATGCAGTGGTTATCAAAATGGCTATGAAAAATCAAGGTGCAACACTGAAGAATATGGAAATGTTATTTTAGATGTGATTATTCAGTTTCTGTACTTGTACTGTATATATATATATATATTTTTTTTTCTTTTTACATTTTATACAAATTCATAATTACCCATTTTACAAAAAGTGAATGTTTAACTTTTTAAAAAAATATATAAATATACAAGTAAATTGAGGCAGATTTGCATTTTACCACGTGACGCGTACATCAGGAGTTCAATGCTTTTGTTAGTACACTTATTTTAAAATTATAGAAGATATATCTCAAAGTGTATTCATCATCATCTAACAAAACACTCAATGCTCAAAAACCCTTTGTATAATAACTATGTAGTGCAACTGTAAGAAGAATCAAGGGAGGGCTAGCTGGCAAATCAAAACAGATTTTGCACATCTTTTTTTTTAACAACAATTTTTATTTGTCAAAAATTGTCATCCCCATGTAATGCCTAGATATAAAAAGAATGCACATTAACCAAAAAAAAATAGCATATGTTGAGATCACTTGTAAATGACAGTGTTTCCATATTTCACCTTTACTACTACACAAGGATGCAGCATTTATGCTGGTTAACAAGATAACACACATTCAGCTTCAAGAAAGAAAAGAAAAAAAACACTATTTGCACTATCATCTGATACTCACCATCAGTTTCAGCTGCCTCTCGTGCTTCCCTCTCCAAACGCTGCCTCAGAAGCTCTTGCTGTTTGGCCAGGTACTGTTTAATGAAGCTGTTCTGACTCATTTCCTCCCCAATCTAAATAAACACACATGTAATCCAAAAATGGTACAGTTGTTTTAGAGCAGTTAAGCCATCCACACAAGAACACACAGTAACACGCTTATTCCTACTGTAAAACATCGCAGTTCAGCTCACCCGGGAATTAGGCTGCAGGCCAATGTGATGAGTGGAGGTTTTCTGAAGGTTCTCCAACATGAGAGCCTGTTGTACATGCAGAACGACAGAAAAACATACTTCATTATCGACGCCAAATACTTAAACATTCTTTGCAGCAAAGGTAAGTGAAATACCTGGAACTGGACAGCAGACAGCGTTGATTATATTACTTAACTTAATAGATGCTAACATAATAAGTTGATTATTCATTCATATTTCATGTTTGTATGGATCAGAGTGAATGATGTAAGAATGAATTAGCATACAAATGTGACCCAGGACCACAAAACCTGAGATTTATACATCATCTGAAAACTGAATAAATAAGCTTTTCTTTGCAGTATGGTTTATTAGGATATGACAATATTTGGCTGAGACACAAACATTTGAATATATGGAATCTGAGGGTGCAAAACAATTCAAATTAGGGCTGGGTATCGTTCAAAAATTTTCGATACCGATACCTTGATTTTGATACCAGTTCCTGAACGATACTTTTTTTGATACCAGTTTTATGAAATAAATTAAAAAGATTACATTATCTAAAAAAAAAAAAAAACTTTGGTTTTATAACATTTAATTTCAGCAACATTACATGGCCAAAACACACATTAGACTGCAATCGGAAGTTATTACAAACACTCGATGGTGGTTTAAAGTGAGTTTTGAGTAAAAGCGAAATATAAATATTTATTGTCTTATGTAGCATGATGCTACAGTTTGCATGAATGGTCACATAACACACGCTTTCGGTCGTGTAACGTGAACAGACATTTGCATATGACCGGAACTCCACGCTAGTGCTGGGCAGTATACCGGTTCATACCGGTGTTTATTTTTGTTATGATATGAACTTTTAAAATACTGCAATACCGGTATTTTTGTTTAAGTATGTCGCTTAAACAACGTTCAGAAAGCGACACTGTTTGAAAGGGGTCCCTTTTCGCTGTTGCACCGTGGTGAGGGAACAGCTGTATGTGTTACTAAACGTGAAAGTTCTGAAACTGAAGCTGTAGAACTAATAGAACGTGATGACACAGAAGAACTCATCCACAATATCCACATTGACCGCCACAAATATCCACCGCCCCATGCCATCAGCTCCCGCGTCTCACACACATGAGCGCGACTTTAGCAACTTTCAGACCCTTTTAGCGGCTTTTTCCCATAGAATATGCAAAACAACCACATAGCCGATCTTTAGTGTAGATCAGGGCTCCACGATAAATCGCATGCGATATTTAACGCGCATCTTGTCAGAAAGCCAGTTCTGTAATCAGCGGTAAATCTCTATCACCTGCTGGCTTTCACATTGAGCAGCATTAACTACACAGAGCCGTTGTTCACTGACGAGCTGTGCAAAAAATCGCGCGAATATGAACGTGGGTTTGCGCAACTCGTCAGTGATTTTATCAGACGATGCCACGATTATAATTGAGAGTGACTCCTGGTTAACGTATTAAAAGTGGTCGTGCTTAGTCACTATTTAGAGTGCTATTTTTTGACAATATTCCCTAATCATGACAGTAAAATAGGGCATTCTAAGTCAATATACTGCAGTAGTTCCTCTCTCAATCAGTAGAAAATATGGTTAACACCCGGTCATGCATGAAAAAAAAAATACTGTCATGTACCGTGAAACCGGGATAATTTTGAAAAATACCGTGATATAAATATTTGGTCATACCGCCCAGCACTACTCCACGCAGCTCCCGCGCTACTCTACATTGGAAATGAATGACTGAATGACCGGTCTGTCGCTTGTCGGAGATAGTAGAAAACCGGCTTGAAATGCAGTGGAAACGCTAATATGACGAGGATCGTTTTCATTTTAAAACATAAACGCACCAGTGTAAATGTAGCCTTACATCTATGGGGGCTGGGACGCATTCACACTACAGCCTCACGTGTTCGCCACATCTTTGAGTGTAACCGGTGTAAACTAGTAGGTAGTGGTTCAACCGATCACAAATCGGATCACATTACGGTTTTTGACCCACGGATCGGATCATTTTTCGGATCAGCAAGAAAATAAAAATATTTCAATTTAACTTGCTTTCCACTTATTACTTAAAGCGAAGTACTTCTTTGATACCACAGCAAATACTACTAGATTAACTAAGAAAGTTTAAACATGATTAAAGAGACGAGAGAACAGCCAGTAAAAATAAGAACAAATACACAAATTACAAGCATAGATAAATACAACAGAATATGTTACAAATAAAATAAGGTTGGTAGTATTCAAATACAGAAATGTAATAATTAGGGAAAATAACACTGCATAGTGTTCACTGTATAAATTAAATATAGATTTTTATCACAGCTGTTTTATTGTATGATGATCATTAATGACAGCAGCAGTATTTATAGGCCACTGTCCCTTTAAGACCTGATGCACGGATCCGATATGATACACACACTGTAAAAAATGACCGTCAATTTAACGGTAAAAGACTGTAAAAATGCTACAGTAAAAACCTGTTAAATGGTTAACGGTAAATTCCCCTACTATATACGGTGAAAAAATGTATTGGACATTACATGTATTGGACATAAATTTTACGGTAGTATACCGTTTTTGGAAGTGAAAAATACTGTATAATTTACAGTGAATAACCGTAAATTGACATTCCCAGAATTCCCTGCGTTACATTTCAAATTTGATGTTGTTTTGTTGAAATAACTATGTTCCTTCTTAGTTTTTTCTTATCAGTTTTGTATATTAGGGTTGTGTGTTACACCTAATGTTGTTAAACGAATGTTTATTGCATTATTTCAGTGTCATGTGTGTTACCATGATGGTGTTTAGCATTTGTGTGAATGACACAGTGCACCTTCTATATATGTTATTATTTAAAAGCTGCTTGTGATGGGCTTTGATTCATCATGTGACTTTCTCATCACCACCTGCATTTGGTGGTTATCAGTGTATTACAAAGGTACAAAACAGATTTCAGTACTTCAGTAGGTTGGTATATTAACATTATATCAGTTAATGAAATTACGGTATTTAACTGTAAATTTAAGTTAAAACCGTAAAACCTAAAACGTTGCTACCGTATTTTTTACGGTAAAATTCCGGTAACCACAGCTGCCGATTTTTTACCGTAAATTTTACGGAATTTTTTTTACAGTGCATCACATCCGATTTCTTTCTCAGCTGTTTTCATTCACTTGAGACATAACTGACTGCGTTTACCTTAATGATGTTGAGATAGGTATTTTGTGTATGTGTCTGTTCAGAGGACTCAGAAGAGGATTCAGTTCGGTGTTCGTGCGCCATCTGAAATGCGTGTGCGGCTGTGCACGTACAAAACAGTGCGCGAGTAACAAATCGAGTTCCCTTTCATCTTTTCTCTCTGGAATTGTTTAAAATTCGCTTGCTTGTGTAAATACAAAAATTATAAACTTATACTCTAGTATGGTTAAACTTTGCGATTAATCCGCAGATCACATGCGTGCCGAACTGTGGGGCTTGGTCCGTACGGATCAACTACGATCCATTTAACCACTACTAGTAGGTGTGTTCGACTTGACGCGGACCGACTGTGCAGACCGGTCGGTGTATTACAGTACCACGAGAGCTAAGAGAGCAGACTGCTCCGTGCGCTTTCGAATCGCTCTCACGAATGTCAAACACTGATCGATCAGTCGTGTGTTGCAGGCTTATTGGCTCACTGACGCTGATGAGATTAACCCCTTATGTGTCGAAATTTGGTACCGAACGATGAGACGTTTTTCGATACTCGATGGTATCGAGGCAATTAGGTCGGTGCCTAAAAAGTATCGAACTCAATACCCAGCCCTAATCAAAATATTGAGAAAATCACCTTTAAAGTAGGGCTGTCATGATTACAAAATTTGGCTGACGATTAATTGTCTAAATATAGTCACGGTTATTACGATTAATTGTCTGTTTTAGGGCTTTCATTATATAATTGTGATTAATTTAAGGGTTCAGTAAATAATTATGATGTTATCTTTTAATCTTCCTGAGTTATTATTTTGCAGTGTGCGATTATATAGAGTATTCCAAATTCTAAGAATTGGCCAATACCGATCCAACACCAGCACTACTTTTTTTCTACACCACTACAAAATATCAATACTGTGTTTGTGGAACTAATGGTCACTCTTTTAAACCCTTTGTTAAACACAATCCACTAAATACTCACTTCCTCATTACAGAGAAAAACTACATTTGAATAAAAATATATAAGCTATGAAATTAAACTATCTGACTGTATAATTTAGCAGCAAAAACAATATCTTGAAAAATAAAATATTTGGTGCACATTATACATTTTAAACATGTTTATTCTGTTAACTATTTGTATTCTTACAAAATACATTCATGAATATAAGATATAAATCATGAGAAAAAGAAAGGCTTCTAATAATCTTTCTGTTTGTGATAATTCCTTCCTTCCTTAAACTTAAAGTATTATAATGGGAATATATCATCTTGGAGAGAGAGTTTTACCGTGCTGACTGTCATAACTGAACGTGACGTGCTGTTTGAATGCTAAGTGGCGATTAGGGCCTTTCGCACTGCGGGGACGTTTTCATAGTACCAGAACTAATTGTGGAACTACCCACTTTTTGGCGCACTGGGTGTGATTTTAGTACCGGACTGCCTTTTTCGAGAACCAAATTAGCTCCTACTCCGGAGCAGGGTCTAACCAGCACAACTGGTACTAATCGTGACGCAAGTAGACATTGATTGGCCAAACGCGTATAAAAACGCCCTCACCTGCCATGATTTAAAACGCTGTGTAAACATACTGTAAACATGTGTCAACTTATTTCGCAAGTATGGAGAATAGCGATAGATGGACGGACGCTGAAGTGCAGGCACTTGTAGCAAATGTAGCACTGCCAGTTGTCGTTGGAGATTCTTAGTCCTCCTTTCCTTTCTTTCAATCGCTTTATGTATACGTCGACTTTCGAGACACAACAAAAACACAGTTCCGATCACAGCGTCCTCCATCCTCCTGTTGTTAATGTTGTTCTTCTTTGTTTCTGTTGTTGAACGCCGCGCACAAATGACGTCACTGTCGACCGGCTTATGTCACTTCTTAGTACACACTCTCGGTGCGAATGCAACCCTTTAAATGGTACTGGGAAATAGTTCGCGCAAAACCGTCCCAGTACTTTAGTACTGTCCATTTAGTTCTGGAACTAAAGCGGTGCGAAAGGCCCTAGTGACTGACAGTTGCAGCAGAAGGAAGGTGAGTTTCTGTAAACCTAAATTCTGCCCCTCACATTAAGATATAGAATGGCTTCAGATGATATAGCAGGGCTCCAGACTGCGACCATTTTTTCTGCCGATGTGACTAAATTTTGTGTGTGGTCGCACCGCGTTGGTCAACTCATAAGCGCTGCAATTTCTGTTGCATATGAGAAACATCAAACGGCAAACGAAACTGAAAGCATAACGAAACAGCGCTTAGAGAGTTTACTTGCCACGTCAGGACGAGCGCTGCAAAAATGACGCGGATATTGAGGAAACGATGGATGGTTTTCAAGCGAAAGTCAAGTAAAAGACCGCTTCTTAAACCAGAGAATGTGAACATGCTGGTATTCTTGTGGGGGGAAAAAAACATGCAAGCACGGTCACCGTTAGTTTTACTTTTCTTTTTGTTTTTCCATTTTTGAAAAACTTGTTATCTTTGCTGTTTACCTCACATTACGCTATGGAGGCTCTCTTTTATTTATTTATTTATTTGATTCCTCAGTGTTTGCTAAACGTTCTGTAATTTATTAGTCGGTATATATAATACAGCATGTGGTGTGTGCCATGCCTCATCTTATTCGTTTTTGTTAATAAACGTTTTGTAAGCTAATTTGTCATTGTATCTTACTGATTTATTGTTGTTGTGCTTTTTAATTAAGAATAACAATGAATCCATCTTTTGTTTTAGTCTTAAAAAAACGAAAGGTGCATAGATGTATGCAAGCAAAACAGTGACAACAAGATCTCAAATTCGAAAGTGAAAGCATCCGAAGCCCGAGGCTTAACACAGCAAAAGAGAAACTTCCATTCACAAAATTCAAATCACAAATAATACTACTGATGATAAAGAACGGGTTGAATGTTAACCACTTTCGTTTCCATATCTATAAACTAGGATAAAAGTTAATCAGCATGCATTGAATAATCCCATGTTGTAGCGCAAAAAAATAAAAAAAATATTTCGACCAAATCATGTGCTCGTGCGACCAGCTGAGAAAGTTAGTTGCAAAAGAGCGACCAGTGGGAAGAATGAGTCTGGAGCCCTGTATAGGCTATACAGTGCATGAAAAGCAAACTGGTGCTCTTCTGTTTCTTTTGGTGTATGACTCCCCCTTGTGTCGTAAAGCACAATAATCGCGGTTATCTGAAACAAACGCGGTTATATCAAATAATCGCGATTACACGGTTATTTAATTATCACGACAGGCCTACTTTAAAGTTGTCCAAATTATTATCTTTGCAATGCATATTACTAATCAAAAATTAAGTTTTGATAAATTTACAGTAGGTAATTAACAAAATATCTTCAATTAATAACCTAATGATTTTTGGCATTAAAAAAAAATCGATACTTTTGACCCATACAATGTATTGTTGGCCGTGCTAATTAAGACTGGTTTTGTGGTCCAGGGTCACATAGAAAACATGTACTTATTCATTGATTATTTGATGATCATAATAGAAACATACATATGGATTTACTCCTGATAATTTCATTATGTACAAACCAAGCAAGTGCACTAAATAAGAACCTAATCAAGACAGTGATAGACAGAGATTTGTTTACATCCGTTCAGTAACAGTAACTTCAGCTCAAACTTCAAAGCAGCTGCGGCGCTCGGCACATCAATCAATCAAATCCTCCCACCGACGCAAAGCAACCGCGATGCGATTTCAGTGTTTATTTCAACAAAAGCACATGACATTCAAGGGATAAGAGGCGTTTAATCTTTCAAAAACTTAATTTTTTTTGGAGACTTTTAATAAGCGCGTCCCCGTTTCATAACCCCCACCCCCCTAACACCTTATGCACTAACAAAGCGCGAGCCCGCCGACAACTTAAAAAAAAAAAAATCCCAGTTCCCATCCATCCAGAGACTTGTAAACACAACCGCATTGCCCCGAACCCTCCACGACGTCTGCGCCCTCCCAAAACTCACATGCAAGGAAAATAAACGGCGCTTTTGCACGTCACTCACACACACAGGCAACAGCGGGGGGACATGATGACACACTACACACTGGATGAGCACCCCAGCTAGTGCGCGCTAGCAGCTAGCGAGACACCACAGACGCTCGGCCTCCGAATCACGGTCCTCGGACTCTGCGGAGCCGAGAATCCTGCAACTCCCACTCACCCCTTTGAGCCTCTTGATGAGAGCATTCTTCTGCCCGCTTTTCGGAAGCCCTCTCTCTTCCAATGCCGCCTTCAAATCCGCCACCCGGAGCGAATGGAGCGGCCTCCCGTCCAGCGTAACGTCTTCGAGGTCCGCCATCTTGATTCCCTTCGCTCGTTCTGTAGCTCACGCGGACCGCAACGCCTTCCTCACCGACGTCAGCGCGCCATGAGCGCTTCCGGAAGAGGCGGAGTGGAAGCACAGAGAGAGGAAGGACCTCGAAGTTGTTGATGTTTTACAAAGTAACAGGCAGTTAACATGTATTTATGGGACATGAAGAAGAAGAATGTATTCATGGGCTTAAACCACATTGGACATGATAGAATTGCTTCATGTAATTTTCCGTTTCAGCATAAAACCATTGCAAAGGCTAACAAAGATGCAATTATTAAAGCTAGTCCAGTATTCAAGCTGTTAATGCTGTGGATGCAATGCAAGCTGAGGTACGGAAGTTCTAAGCGGCCATGCATTATTTTATTTTTTCCTTCTTGTTTTCTCGTTATATAGATATAACGAGAATTGTTTTCTCGTTATAACGACATAACGAGAGTTGTTTTCTCGTTATAACGACTTAATTTTCTCGTTATATCGACATAACGAGAGTTGTTTTCTCGTTATAACGACTTAATTTTCTCGTTATATCGACATAACGAGAGTTGTTTTCTCGTTATAACGACTTAATTTTCTCGTTATATCGACATAACGAGAGTTGTTTTCTCGTTATAACGACTTAATTTTCTCATTATATCGACATAACGAGAGTTGTTTTCTCGTTATAACGACTTAATTTTCTCATTATATCGACATAACGAGAGTTGTTTTCTCGTTATAACGACTTAATTTTCTCGTTATATCGACATAACGAGAGTTGTTTTCTCGTTATAACGACTTAATTTTCTCGTTATATCGACAAAGTTTTTTTTTTTTTGTACAATGATTGTTTGATCTACTGTTGTTATAGTAACAAACTCAACTTTGACACGCATCTGATGGACAGATAAACCATGCGCTCTTACTGTAGCCTAGGTCGTGGATATTTCAGCAAATTTTGCTTCGCCTAGTAATAACGTCTACAATACAAAAATAAAGGCTGATCAATCACGGTTGATATTTCCAGAGACAGTACACTAAACATGTGTTTGTGTAATTAGCATGTTTAAATGGTCAAAGCAACACCGCAAACACAGGCGGAGCGCCTTCAGGATGCAGAACTATTCTAAAATCTTTTAGAGCTGCTTGGATTCAACTCACTTTCAATTTTCCTTTTATTTGAAAGAAAATTATATATAATTTGGAATTTTTAGTAGTCATTATATGCTGTGACTGATATCGTGTGCGTTACAAGCTTCTGTTTGAAAAGAGCGTTTGTGTGGAGCTATGTGTGTGCGTGTGTGTGTGTGTGTGTGTGTGTGTATGTGTGTGTGTGTGTGTGTGTGTGTATATGTGTGTGTTTGTGTGGTTCGCACAAAGATGTGTATAACACAAAAAAGATCACAACACTGGAG